TCTTCCCTTTGAAGACACCACTCCAAATCACATTTTTGGACTTTACGGCCTCATTCTGTCCAGCCCACCACCCTGAGGACCCTGATCGGGGTTGCAGCCTGGGGGTGGTGACCCCCTGCCCGTGCAGAGAGGGGTCTGCACGCACCGGAGCTGCCTGCGCTCCCCTCCCACTGGGGCTTCTCACCACAGAATCACAGCATGGTCGGAGTTGGAAGGGACCTCTGTGGGTCATCCAGTCCAACCCCCTGCCGAAGCAGGGTCACCTAGAGCAGGCTGCACAGGACCGCGTCCAGGTGGGTCTTGAATATCTCCAGAGAAGGAGACTCCACAGCCCCTCTGGGCAGCCTGTTCCAGGGCTCCGTCACCCTCAGAGTGAATAAGTTCTTCCTCATGTTCTCACCAGGGAGGCTGCGAAACCACGTCCCTTGGTGCAGGGCACACGGAAAATCCAAATTTGGGGAAGAGAGAGGCTGGCGAAATCCAGCAGCAGGGCAAGAGCGGACCACAGCCTCCCACGTGGGAGCAAAGCATCGCCCAGCCCAAAGCTGCTCCGGGGTTTGGTGGTTTCTCTGCTCTCCCGCCTCCTCTCACCTAACTCGCGTTAAATCGCCCAGCTCCAATTCAACCCCCAACGCCAGCAGCCACCGCTTGCTCCGCGTCCCCACGCCTGACTCAGACACGCAGCCGGGCCACGAGCTGCTCGGTCTCTGCAAACACACCAGCGCACCCTCCTCCTCCTCCTCCGAAACCTCCCAGCTCCCCATCCACCAACCCCACACCTGCCCCGACGAGCCCCAAGCCTGGTGAGCGACCCAAGACCTCGGGTACTCCACAGCAGCCTGAACAGGAGAGAAATTCAGGCTTTAATTCCTGCCCATCTCAGCGAGCTGACCACTTAACCACCCTTGCCAGCCTGGGCTCCAGCCCTCCTGGGCACGCACGCCCGAGCAGCCGGAGACGCCGAGCTTGCCGAGCCGGGTCAGGGGATGGTGAGACGCTCCGGCATTTCCATGCAGGCTGCCTCCACCCGCTCACAGCCAAGTTTAGCCTTTCCAGAGAAGAAAACCCAGCAGGAGTGTCCTACTTTCTGCCAGCGACAAGACCAAGCGGCCGCGTATAAAGGGGCTTTTTTCCTTTTTTTCTTCCCCCCTCCTCCTTCCACCATTTATTTCTTTTTCTCCCCACTCCCCATGCCTTCAGCGGGATGCTCAGCCCCAAAGCCAGCTGAGTCTCAGCAGCTCATGGGTCCTCCTACCCCTAAATCTCACCTCCCCGAATGGGTTTCTCGCGTATTTTGCTTGCTGAGAGGCTTCTCGCAGACGAGGGGCTTCGCTGGCGTCCCCACCGCGCTCCTTCCCGCCCAGAAAATCAAATCTACATTTCTAAAGCTACCGTGGTTTTTGCCTTGTGCCCCTGCCGTAGGAAGCCTACAGGTGACCAGCCTGAGCTGGGGCACGTTTTCTAATGAAAAATCTCAAAAAAACCCCAACCCAACCCAACCCCCATAACCTCTGCACTTCTTGCAGTCAGCCTGATGTTTTCTGTAGCACAGGAGGCAGCTGCCAGGCCAGAAGCCACCC